AATCAACCAAACCAACAGAAGAAACAAAACCCTCAAAGTTGTTGAAAAGAAAAAATCAGATCAAATTGAATACAGAAACGAGCAAGAAAATCATACACACAATTGCAAGAAAATCATACACAAAATTGAAAAAAAATACGTGAAGAGTGCTGATGAATAGTAACTTTGATGAATAGTGCATATGAACAGTATTGATGAATGGTAACTTCGATGAATAGTATTGTGCCTGCTACAACTCTGATACCATGAAAACTAACAAGTGAAAAACATATAATGGCTAGGGTTTCCTATTATCATCAAAGAGAAGTACAAATACAATGAAAAGGAAAGACATAACGTATAGACTAGCTATTTAGGTTTCCTAGCTAAAATGCCTAATCATAAAACCCAATACAAGATAAAGCCCAAAATCTTATTAGGCTAACAATACACACTCGCTAAGAGATTTTCATATTGGGCATTATGTGGCACTCTGATATTTATAGTGATGATATGTACTTGATACTTGTTATTTTCTGATGGTTTGATTTATGAACAATATTTTGGGCAAATTAAAAATGAAAAAAGTTTAGTTTGAAATTTGAGGTGTTACACGACTCACAAGTATGACTGGTTATTTGTATCGTTTTTTTCTTTCAATGTACCAAATGCTTAAAAATGAATATGAAGTGTTTGATGAAATGTCTAAATGTTATGGAAGAATTATCTAGCATTTACAAGCTTTTAAAAGGAAGAAATAAGACAAGTTTAAAACTATTGATTGTTAAGTTGCTTTAAATTCTAGTTTACATAGTTTCATTAATTTCCAAACCAAACATATTTCAATTTGTTGTTTTGCAGCTGTTGAAAAGGTCACAAAGTTAACTTACCATCTCAAAGATACCTTTTATCACATACAAGTCCTATAAAGGTTACCTCTAATTTTTTGCAGGTTAATTGAAAGCATTATTGTTTGTCTACAAGGTTTTGTTATTTGTGTTTATTGGAGTAGTTTTATAAGTTTGAATGTTTGATGATAGTCATTTATTTGTTTCAATTATGGTTAGGTAAACTATGATGATCTTATATTATACTAGGCGAATGCCCGCGCGTTGTGCAGAAACACCTATATAGTTGAAGTCTTTACAAATATATGTTTTTTTAATATAACAATAACATTGTTAAATTTGATATAATAATTTGTATATACTAAATTGATATAATATATTGATTATTTTGAATTATATGATAATATATACATTTATTGTAACTTCAAAATCTCAATCGTTTAAATGACTTCTACTCGCGAGTTACACATGAATAAAATTAAATATAATATAAGATTTGATGTTATTTATAGATTTGTTTTTATTGTTAATTAATTTTTTAAAATTTATTTGCCTAATGTTTTAAGTTCTATCATTAGAATTATTTGAAACATCAAACATTGTTTTTTTATTTGTTTTTTATTTTAAAGCTAACTATAATTATTTATATAGAGTTGTTTTTAACTATTTTTATTGTAAGTTATTTTAAGCTACTTATTTGGAAACTTTTAACGATTATAAAAATATATTTAAGAAATATTTTAGTTAAATTGATATTACAATTTAGTTTTTGCTTTTATCACTATAACTTAACTATTTACAAAATATTCTTTACGTTTTTAAATGGAACTGAAATTTATATTTGAGTTGATATTGTAATGCGCAGAAAAACCTATATAGTTGAAGTCTTTACAAATATATATTTTTTTAAATATAACAGTACCGTTTTTGTTAAATTTGATATAATAATTCGTATATTAATTTGATATAATTTATTGATTATTTTGAATTATATGATATATATATATATATATATATATATATATATATATATATATATGTATATATATATATATATATATATATATATATATATATATATATATATATATATATATTATAACGTCATAATTTCAATCGTTTGAATGAACTTCTACTCACGAGTTACACATCAATAAAATTAAATATTATATATGGTTTAATATTATTTATAGTAGTTGTTATTGGTAATTGATTTTTTAAAATTTATTTGCTTAATGTTTTAATTTCTATCATTATAATTATTTAAAAACATCAAACATTATTTTTTTATTTTAAAGATAACAATATAATAATTTATATAGAGTTATTTTTAACTATTGTTATTATAAGTTATTTTAAGCTACTTATTTGAAAATTTTTAACGATTATAAAAATATATTTAATAAATATTTTAGTTAAACTGATATTACAATTTAGTTTTTTCATTTATCACTATAATTTATCACTTTTAACTATTTATAAAATATTATTTGGTTTTTTTAGTGGAATTGTAATTTATATTTAAGTTGACACTGTAATATTATATTTAAATTAATAATTTAGTTATTTTGTCCAAATTCTTCAAAAGTTGTAGATTTAAACTGATAATTGTTTACATGCAACAACATTTTAAATCTAATAAATTAAGTATAATATGTTAAAATTTAAATACATAACTTTATAAATAGAAGTAAATATATTATTTTAAAATTGAAATTTAGTCTATTTATGACTACACTTTAGGTTTGATATTTATTTAACTTTTTTAACCAACTTACAATCATTATTAGAAAGACACTACCATTTATCACTTTTAAGTATTTATAAAATAATCTTTGGGTTGTTTAAGTTAAATAAGTTTTATATCTAAGTTGAGCCTATAATGTTATATTTTAATTAATAAATTAAGTATTTTATAAAAATTATTCAAAAATTATACTATTAAAATGATAATGGTTTATATCCAACAATATGTATTAAAACTAATAAATTAAGTATAATATGTTAAATGTTAAAAAACATAATTTTATAAGTAGCAGTAAAGATATTATTTTAATATTGAAATGTAGTTTATATATGATTACACTTTAGATTTGATATTTATTTAACCTAATTACCAAATTATAATTATTATTATAAAGAAATTGAAAATTCATGGGAGTTTCAAATGAATGTGGTGAAAAGAAAAGAATAATGGGGGTTTCAAATGCATGAGATTCAAGAAAAAATGCTAGCTTTATAAATATGTATGATAACTGTATATAAAGTAGCTTTGTATAGAGATCATCACTGCCTCACATAATACTAATTTGTAAAACATAATCATCTCCTCTTAACTGTTCAAACATATATAAGGAGGGTTTCCTGATGTAAAAAAAACAAATAAATAAACTTTGTTAATATGAAAGTTGTTTTGGAATTTACATTTGCTTCTTGTATTTTCATTATCATTCCATAGTTTTCTATAAATTGTTGTGAATGAAATATCATTTTGACCGACCCGATTATTTCGATCATTTTATATTTCAGGTGATTTTTTTTGTTTAGGATATTATGCTCTCAAGTTTCGAGTGTTTATTATTATTATTATTATTATTATTATTATTATTATTATTATTAATTAATTTATTTATTTATTTATCATAAACTTCATTAATGTTTATATATGGGACCATTTTAATTACTTCATATATTTTATACAAAGAGAAAGGAGTGGTTCCTTCCAAGCCATTAGCTCATTGTTACTTTACCTACCTATCAATTTTTCTCTTTTGGTTCTTTTTCATCTTCTGCAACTTACATCACTAAATAACATCATTTTAAACTCATTCAACTGACTAACACATCATTATTTTTAATTTAATTGAATTAGAAATCGAAGTTAAATAAAACATAACTTTTTTTAATTAAAACACACTTGTAAAAATAAAAAATACACGAGGATGAATAGTTTGTACAATTTTTCATTACTATTTTTCGAATGTTTAAATTCATTTTCTATAAAACTGGAGAAAATGAAGAGTTGAAAATTGTTGGAATATAATTAAAAGAAAATAGAATGGAATTGAGATAGAATAAAATGGAAATCAAATATGATGAGATAGTTATAAATATAAGTTTAAAAAAATTATTAAATTTTTTGACCAATGACCGGTCAAAGTGGAAGAGAAAGAAAACAAACATTAAACACGGGATCATATACCTATCATCCACCTGAGCACACCGATTTCTGGTCGGTATAAGCTCCCTAGCGGTACTGCCATCCCAAAACCGGTTATCCCGAGCAACTCCGACCTCACTAAGTACTCACTCACATGCCGTGCATTTTTTTGAGCTTCCAAATTTTTTTTTGGTTTTACCCCTATGTTTTTGTGACATGTTTGATTATATGCCATTAGATTATAGTATAGTTTATATATTATATGACATGCCAATTTTAACTTGTGTTGTTTTCTGATCCACATACAATTTTAGCATTTTGGACTATTCGCTAGATTGCCAAATGATGCACTTGAAGAAGAAAGAGCCACATATCTTAATAGTAACTTTTTGTCAAGAATGTTAGTATAATATCATTTGGACATATTATAGCATGACCTGGAAATGGATACCATTATTATATTAAAGTGTCTCATCAGTAGCTATTTATTTATTGTAATTTCTTTTTTAACTATTATTTGAATAATTATTAGAGCTTGTAATTTATTTAATTAGGTTATTTGTTTTTTATTATTATTTTTAAATAATCCAGATTCGTCCATTTAATTAATAAATTTAATAAGTTGGAAAAAATCAAACATTCTAACTAGATTTCAACTTATTTAATAAACTAGGTTGGAAATTTAACTAAATTAATTAAAATGTTTGGATTAGATTGATATTTTCAAATTTATTAGAAAACTTAAATGAAAATTGACAATTTATGAGAATTTGAGCAAAATTATAAAAGATAAAAGTCAAGTCAAAAAGTTAATATATTTATTTTATAAATCAAAGGATATAATTTTGAGTTGGCATTTATGTGCGCTGAATCTAAAGAGGAGTACTTTCTTGAATAGAAAGCTGCTTTAACCATTCTGATGTTCGATGATTCGACAGTTCAAATGTAGAAAAACAAGTAAGAATTTATTATAAGAACCTACTTTCCAACAAGTAAGAATTTATTATAAGAACCTACTTTCCAACATTAATATAAAATTACCAAATCTTAACTTCATCAAATGATTATTAACTATGTGCTATATTTAACTTTAAAAAGAAACACTGATATACCCAAAAACATATACCATAATGATCCAAAAACTAAACAACGGTTTATTTCCAAAAGCAAAACCACGACTTATTTCAACTTTCAAACTCAAAGTTCATTGTAACTCCTATAAGAAAGCAACAAATCATCAACGATAGAAAGTTTAAACTACACATATGATCACTTAATCCATGAGAAGCATAAGTTTCTTCCAAGCATGTCGGTTTGAAATATCATTCCACCATGAATTCACATTCTTCTTCTGTGTCACCATGTGCCCTAGTTCAGCTTCATTCATCAAGTATTTAATCCCAGGAAGATGGCTTAGATCAGCAAGGGTGAAACAATCTCCAACTAGATACCTATGCTTCGATAGTTGTTCTTCGTAAACTTCAAACACTTTCTCAAGCTTCTTTTCACAATTCTCAACTAGGGTAAAGTCAGTTTTCCCTCCCATTTCTGGGATGATAAGTTTCTGAAGAACGATTGTGTAAACCATGTCATTGAAGTGATGCGCTTCGACTTCTAGCCATTGGTCAACTAAGGCTTTCTCCTCAAAAGTAGTTCCATAAAGCTTTTGATTTTTATCAGCGTATTTTGTTGCGTAATATCTTATGATCGCCCTTGACTCTACACAAAATTTTGAAAGAGTTAGATTATTTTAATGACGTTTAACAATGAATGACATCGTATGTATGTCACATTACCAAAAAGCCGAAAATCTCCATCCTCAACAACCGGGACTTGACCAAAAGGCTACAAGGATAACACAGTTTTAGCAGTTTGTAATTTTGCATGATAGCTCATTAATTACAAACGTACATATGATATATTGATATACGAGTACATTAGTATGTGTTACAACAAAAGATTTACCTGTTTTAGTAAAAACTTTGGTTGTTTATGTTCGTTGGAGTTGAGATCAACGTTTATGCGCTCAAAGTCGACATCAAGCTCCAAAAAGCAAGCCAATACTCGCAGTGTGCATGCTGACCTATTTGGACCATATACCTTGACCACCATTTTCTTAGGAACTTTGAGGTCTTGTGGATGAATTGAAGCATATGATGAGGAAGGTACTTAAATAGAAAGGTTATTTCAAATGGGGGTTAGATTTTAACAATGTGACATTTTGGGGGTTGTCAACCAACAAACATATTTTAGAATGTTAGATGAGGAATGGTGGTTGACTGGATTTCCACGAGCACTATCAACCAATGAAATGTTCTACTTTTTCAAAGAAACCCTAAAGTTTAAATAATCTCAACTTAATGCCCTATAGTGTGTGTAATATTTATATAAAAAATCTTTTACTCCTTCCAACGTTACTTTCTTTCGAAATTCGCGATTTGGTCTCTTCTTCTTTCAAACCTGTTGGTTTGACCATCGGAATCCTCGAATAAACTGTGTTTTCGATGGCGTTTGCAGAACATTTACACCCTCCAAACAACGCTAGTTGCGTCTTCTTCTTCTTATTATTCTGATTTTGATCCTTCATGTTCATGCTGAGGCTTTTGATACTCCCATGGCTTCTCTGGCTCCGATTCTTGAGATCCTCCAATCCGATTTCTTGTGGTTTCATCATACCCAACTGTAAAAAGCTCCACTTTGATGATGTTTTCGGGTTGGAGTGATGAACGCTACGGGTTCGGATCTGTGGCGTCGGACTCGGGTGGGAATGGAACTGGTTTCGAGTTTTGGTGAATTCGGATCCTGACGTACTACCACTCCCACTGGTTCCTGAATTATTACTACGAGTGCTGCTGCTTCTGCTGCTAACAACACTTGTGGGTTCGGATCCAGAAAATGAGACGGAGCGGATGAAGCTCCGGCCATCGGTTATTAACTCAGATGGTAAACTAACTGAATGATGTAACGGCAGAATTTGACCATGGAAGAAAAGCTCGTCGGCGCTGCACATTTTATTTTCCGGCAAACTGTTTCCGGCGCCGCCGAAGTCGAAATCTTGTTCAACATCGTCGGAAAATTGTTCTTCTGGATGGTTAGCTTTCGGGACTTCGTGTTTGCTGGTGGTGAGATCACAAAGAGATAAAGCTTCATCGTCTTCGTAGTCGTCGTTAAGGGGTTGGAATTGTTGGCTTTGATGGGAATTAAAAAGAACCAAGGTTGGTGGTGAATCTTGTTCCATGAATATCTGGTGTTTAGAATGTGAACAATGGGGATGTCGAACAGAAATAGGGAAGTTGGTGGGATTGTTATAGTGAAGGAGGCAAATATATTTGAAATTAGTGGAAGCGTGAACAAAAATACAAAGCACAAACCAATGGAATAAATAATGTATATTAAAGGTTTCTAAATTCTAACTCTTTTATATATATATATATATATATATATATATATATATATATATATATATATATATATATATATATATATATATATATATATATATATACTATCTTATAAAAGAAATTTAACTATTTCTAAAAATAGATTGATTATAATAATAATATTTTTTTAAGACGTCCAAAAGATGAAACTGATAGTACAAGTGATCATTAATAAAATAATATTAAATTTTAACCACGTTTTGAATTCAAATATTTATCATCAAATCTTCTTATATTTCTTAGCAATTTGATATGGTTCCCTCAAATCCCGGATTTATTCAAATTTTGAACCCTTTTAGATATCCTTAAATTTAGCATGTTGATTCAAATATCCCTCCAATCGCATATACCTCTTTGTTCCGTCATCTGCTATAAAACCCACTGTCCAGGAACAAAAAATGACTTTATCTCCCAAATAACACCATAGTTTGATTATTTTGTCTTCGATATGTACTTTCTTTTGTAACATAACATTTTTGTAGAGGAACACGCCCCGCCGCTTTGCGCGGGTACACTGCTAGTATATATATATATATATATAGTCTTAGGTTATTTTGTTTAGAGTATCTATTATGTTATTGTATGCATAAATGTAAACCACTCAAATTTAATATATATTATTGAATTAAATATAATTAAAAATATCATCTTAATTAATTATAAGGGTAATTCAGTCAATTAATATAGACTTAATAAAGAAAAATTGCATTTTTAAGGGATTATAGATTCTATTAATTTTAAAAATCCAATTTTAAGAATTATAATTATTTTAATTCGAACATTCTGACAGAATATGTTTATGTGTATATTAAAAATTAAAAATATTCTTGAACCATAAATAATAAAAATATTCTTAAAACTATTTTTTGATCATGAATTTAAAAACTTCTTGTAGAATAACAAATTCTTGAACAATCATTAGAAGAATAAAAATAAAAAATACATTATTTCTTATAGAATACGGGTAAAAATTATTAATAACTATATTTATTGTTAAAGAATAAAACTAAAAAAACTAATCAAAACCGGAAAGAATACATCAAAATCTAAAAACGACTAATACATTCTAAAAGAATAATTTGATCCGTTTCAATTTTGTGGTACGTTCTTCTAGCATCAACTTCTGTGATTCCAATAGAATTGGAATTTATCATTCCATTCCAACAGAATTGAAATTCGTGATTTCATTATCATTTTCCCAGCTCTGTAAGTAATCAACATCTCCAACATATAAAAATACGTTCAACCTTATAAAAATATCGTCATTTTCATGCAATCTAACTAATTATTTTTTATTTTTATTCTCACACATCGTTTTCATTCATTTTGATTTTGACAGAATATGACCCTAACAAACATTTTGACAACATTCTAACAGATATGAAAATAATAATAATAAGTGTATAATAACCTTATAGACGATTTAATTAGTGAGAATGTGTTACTCGTTATAGTTATGTAAGATTAAACATATTTATATAATCAAACAACATATTCTTTTTTATTATTCTCATAGCATACGATTTTCGCGCAATAATTAGTTAGAATACTTGAACCTAGATATCTCTCTCTCTCTCTCTCTCTATATATATATATATATATATATATATATATATATATATATATATATATATATATAGAGAGAGAGAGAGAGAGAGAAAGAGAAAAGAGAGAGATGACTATATTTTGTGAAACATGGGATGCAATCTTATACACTCATTTAAGATATAAAAAATATTTTTAAATAGCAAAATTTATTGAAATTTTTTGATTTTTCTAAATATTATTATCATCATTTATATTTTCCAAAAAAATAAAAAAATAAAAAATAAATAAATAAATTACCGATTTTTTAAATTATCTATGAAATATTCTAATAAAATATATTCTACTATAAAAATTACAACAAACGATTAGAATGTGCACATAGTAAAATATTAGACTACAATTATTCAAACAATTTTAATAGAATATTAGAATATTATAAAAAATTCTAACAATTTTAGTATAATATTATAATATTTTAACATATCAAATAGTTGTGGTAGAATATTAAAATGATGATTTGAATATTTATAGTATAATATTGTATTATAATATTTTATGTTATTTAAAAAAACGACAATTATTTTATTATTATTATTATTATTATTATTATTATTATTATGGTAAACAAAATGAGCAAAATAATAATTAAAAAAGGATTTTTGGACTTTTCTATTTATTTTACATTTTAGATTTTTTTTTTATCTCCAAGATGAGTGGTTACAATCACATCCTCATGTCTTACAAAAATATCATGGTGTCAAATGAACCTCTACTAATATATATATATATATATATATATATATATATATATATATATATATATATATATATATATATATATATTGAGGTAATCAATCTCAACCACATATTTATTTTGCCGCAAAACACTCCATCGTATCGGCGGAAATGTACAAATATATCCAATCGTCAACTATGAAAATAAGCCTTATATCCATGTAGGCCTACTAAAATTCTCGACACGACCCATGACACAACACGAGATAAACGGGTTTGGGTTGAGTTTTTCAACCTACCAATACGCAACCCGTCAACTCGTTTGTTAAACAGGTCATAGATGAGTTTCTAAAAAATATATATATACGGGTTGACCCGCCATCCCGTTTAGAATTTTAATTAAAAATATATATCTTATGTATTATACCATTGACCATTTGACTCGTTGATAACCATTTGTTGATTTGCAACACGTTACCCTAAATAATCTCACAAACAAAATCGAATAAGCCTTTTCCTGGTCTCCCTTGTGTGATGGACGAACCCTGAAACCTACAAAATCAAATATAACTCACGAAATTACCTAGCTATGAACCCGCATTAATAAGTGGGTGGACGGGTTATATATGGGTTTATGTTCCAAACTCGTCAACCCGTGACCTGTATCGTTAAATGGGTCGTATTCATGTTGTATATTTTGTTCCGCCAACCTGAACATGACACGATTGTCAGGCTTATGTCCATGTTTTCGATACTCTAGTAGTGAAATTTGTCCCTAACTATTGCCACATAAAAGTTAGTATTTTGCTTTATCTAAAACCATAAGATAATTTGTTTTATCCAAGATGATTTCACAGGACTAAGCTGTGACATCCCCATTTTTACGGGTAGAAAAGACCGATTTTGTTTATGCTTGTTTAAAAGTCAGAGTAATATTTTAGAGAAAAGTGTTGCAGAATTTGTTCCCAAAAGAAAATATGATAAAGATTTATCAAAGCATTTTCGAAGAAATATATTTCATTAAAAACATCGGGATGTCATGTTCGATACAGATCAAAAGCATAAACAGTACAATATAAGCCTTACTACATTATTTCATATTTACAGGCCTATATTCCGTAAACCCTTATCCCAACATCATATCTATGCTCGTGTGCCACTACCTGTAATACAAGAAACTGAGTGGGTCAGGCTTGGGAGTCTGGTGAGCACATAGGGTTTTCAACCCACAATAAATAAACTTATTAACTTTATCAAACCAAGCAAACCCGATTACCCGTTCCCGTTATCTTCACTTTACATCCCTAAAACATCTAACACAAGGGACCTAGTCTAAGGACTTTCATCGGGGTGACAACACTGCTTCGAGGGTTCCTCAGCAATTTATGTCAATTAAGGAAACCTTGTGGGGGATAGAATACTGCTGGTGAACACTAATTTCAAAGAAACACTTACAGGTTGTGAGCCTGCTAGCGTTCCATTGGATTGTCTAGAATAGTCCGTGGTTGTCATCTATACTCCGCTAGATGACTGGATCATTTTAAAAAATCGAGGCCTCTCATCATTTTATCACACATCGTCTATTACATCTACCCATGTTTTACCCAACACATTTTGTAGATATATAATACATATACAATTTAAATCATTTAAAACGTGTATAAAAATCGTTCATCCAGCATATATAGCAAGTATACATACAATATGCACACTTAGCACGTAATTTATATAAAATACTTCATATCTATGTGTAAGATGAAAGTAACAATGCACTCACTTGTTAAAGTGACAAATCGAAATTCGAGCAGCGCTTCGCTTCTTAACAATATGATTTCCTTCGACGAAACCTAGTATTATTACCACTAGATTTTAGTCTAATATTTATTGCGACTAATTATTAATATAGATTTGTCATTAACTCAGAGTCTACTTCATGATCTATCAAGTAAGGAACAACCATGTAGGATCATATCGGAGGTAGGGTTTGTTTGGTATACGAAGTATACTGTTTGGAAATCCACTTTAAACATGTCACTAAATCACAACCTAAACATCATTCCTGTAAGTAGATCAATCAGTATGACGACTTTGAATCACTGATAAATCTTATTTATAGGTTCATAATAACGATATTATATTTATATGTAAGCTATTTTTAAGGTATGGTAGGCATGTCTCACTTACAGCGGATTTTTATTAAAAACTTGGCTTCGCTGGAGCAGTATTTCCGAGCTGAAAATCTCTTCTTCTCAGAGCCATCGAGCGCTTCGGGGCTTTCATTTAACGCTAGGGGAGTTCCTTAGGGCTTAGGAGGGTTTTGGGAGGTTTAGAGAGAGAGTAGAGAAAAGAAAGAATGGGAAAGGTATGAAGACTGAGGGTGGAAGGGGTTGTATTTATAGGGTGAAATATGGCTCATCTTGGTGCCACATGTCACCATCTGGTGGCAAGCCTTTGGGAGAAAGCAATGGTCAGGAATGTGCCACATCGCCCAGTTTCGCACAATACACTTCCGACT